TGTGATTGTGTGTGCACACTTTCCCACTGCCTGTAATGCAGCATCTTTCTCTCATGGAAACATCCCATTCCACTGGGCATTATTATTATGAAGATGGTTTCTTCCTAAGCTATACTACCTAAATGATAATAATGATAATGTCAGTTTAGATAGAGTTTTCATGGTTAAAAATATAAACAAGGAAGTGTCACACTGTTGCAACACATAAGTTTCTATTGAGGAGCCATACAGATTGTGACTTAATGATTAAGAAAAGGTTAATGATTAAGAAAAAATTTTAATTTTTGAGTCCCAGTTAGTCCAGTGAGCTTAATTTCTTTTAAGCTCAATTTTGGGATATGTGGTCATGGGTTTCAGAGTGCCCCACAGGTGAAACAGAATATTGAAAAGTACTTAAATTTAGACTAAGATGTTTTTGTCAAATAGCTTTGAGATGAAAAACCCAAGAAGATAATCTAAAGCTTTAGAAAGGCATCTGAGATCTTCTTAGGTGACAAGTGCATGGAGCGATACAAGGCAGTTGGCAAGTTTTGGCCCGGTACCTTTGGCATGCAGATTGTTCTGCCAGGTTAGATCCATCATCTGTTGTGGCTCTCCTGAGCCCCCAAGTCAGAATATGATGTAGGAGGTCCTTCTGTCTATGTGTTGCTTTCATTGGTTAATAAAGGAACTGCTTTGGGCCTATAGCAGAGCCATAGGAGAACAGAGCTAGGCAGGGAAAACTAAATGGAATGCTGGGAAGAAGAGGCAGAAAGAGAAGCCATGGATTCTTCACCTGAGACAGATGCCAGTTAGAATCTTGCTGGTAAGCCACAGCCACATGGCGATACACAGATTAGTGGAGATGGGTTAAATTAAGATGTAAGAGTTAGCTAGTAATAAGTTAGAGCTAATGGACCAATCAGTTCTTTAATGAACATGGTTTCTGTGTGATTACTTGGGTTCTGGGCATCCGGAATAAACAAGTGGCCATCCTGTTACAAGAATATGACTTGATATCTCCTGAACTGATTCAGGAAGATCTTTATCAAAGCACAGTTGGGTCTCAGGGACAACAGATAGTCTGGGGTTTGAATTCTTGGGGATCATCCTCTTTAGCAAGTTAATTTGCCTGGTGGTTACCCTGAGTTTGGGGGCTTTGTATTTTGGTGTCCTGGCCAGTGAATGATAGGCAATTCACTTGGCACTACATGGCCTCTAGCAACTGGACAATTTTATACTTATTTTTAATAATCTTTCCCTCTGAGGTGACTAAGTCCCTCTGTTTATATATCTGTCTATGGACATGAACCATGGCAAAAGCATATTGGCTGTCTGTGTCAATGTTCACTGTTTTCCTTTAGTCCATTTTTTTTTCTTGTTTTTTGAAACAGAGTTTCTCTGTAGCTTTGGTGCCTATCCTGAAACTAGCTCTTGTAGACCAGGCTGGCCTGGTACTCACAGAGATCCACCTGCCTCTGCCTCCCAAGTACTGGGATTAAAGGCTTATACCACCAGTGCCTGGCCCTTCAGTCCATCTTAAAGCCTATTTCAGGACAATTATGTCTTTTCTCGGGACCTTTCTGCTCTTGACCAATCCTGCCTTCACATACCTGGTTACATCTTGAATAAAATTGCTTCCAGTCATGTAGAAATCTGCATCTCTGGTCGTCAGGGGGTATGTGTCAGGTCAGGTTGCCTACCTTGGATGACATTCAGCATCCCAGGCAGTCATGTTTGGAGTCCTCAGGGTTATTGACAGGAATTAATGACCAAGGATTAATCAAAAGTCAGTCTGTGCTTATGTAAAAGAAAGGCCTCAATACTGGCATTAGACACGCACTGGCTGGAGGTATCGCTCAGCTGGGCTTCCATAGCATGGAACTGTGACCATTAGAGCCCATCCCAAAGAGAGCTTGTCAGTTTCTTTTTACAGGAATGGCAGTGGCTATGATGGCTCTTATACAAGAGGGCTGTCTTAGGGTTTCCCTTGCTGCAATGAAACACCATGATCAAAATCATGTTGGGGAGGAAAGAGTTTATTTGGCTTACACTTCAGCATTGCTGTTTACCCTTGAAAGAAGTTAGGACAAGAACTCAAATAGAACAGGTTCCCAGAGAGGGAGCTGATGTAGAAGCCATGGAGGCAGTTACTTACTGACTTGCTTCCCAAGGCTTGCTCAACCCAACTGCTTATAAAACCTAGGACCACCCCCAAAAAACCGACAAACTCATGGAAACTGAACAGTCAACTACTGAACCACACCTGGGTCAAGGAAGAAATCAAGAAAGAAATTAAAGTCTTCCTTGAATTTAATGAAAATAAAAGGACAACATACTCAAACCTATGGGACACAATGAAAGCAGTGCTAAGAGGAAAGTTCATAGCACTAAGTGCCCACTTAAAGAAAACGGAGAATGCATACATTGGGGACTTAAAAACACACCTGAAAGCTCTAGAAAAAAAAGAAGCAGACGCGCCCAGGAGAAGTAGAAGACTGGAAATAATAAAACTGAGGGCTGAAATCAACAAAATAGAAACGCAGAAAACAGTCCAAAGAATCAATGAAACAAAAAGCTGGTTCTTGGAGAAAATCAACAAGATCGATAAAACCTAGGACCAGCATCCCAGGGATGGCAGCACTCACAATGGGCTGGGCCCTCCTCCACTGATCACTAAATGAGAAAAATGACTTACAGCTGAATCTCAAGGAGACCTTTCCTTAGCTGATTTCCCTTGTTGACTCCAGCTTGTATCAAGTTGACACACAAAACCAGTCAGTACAATTGACCCCTTGCCAACTTCTGTTAAACCACAATGCTTCCTTTCTTATTCATCCTCAAGATCTTAAACACTTTAAAAGTTCCACAGTCTTTACAAATTCCAACACATTAAAATATCAGTTCTTTTAAAATAGCCAATTTCTTTGCAAATACAGTTTTTTAAAAGCCAAGTCTCTCAACTGTGGGCTCCAGTAAAATCCTTTTTACATAAAGAGAGAAATATCAGGGAACAGGCACAATCCAGTCAAAGCAAAATAAAATTCCAACCATCCAATTATCTGGGATCCACTCACAATTTTCTGGACTCCTGCAAAGGGCTTAGGTCACTTTTATCCCTTTGCCCTCTGCAGCACACACAGCTTGTCTTCTAGGCTCTGGCTGGCTCCATTCCCCAGCTGCTGCTGTTCTTGGTGGCCATCCTGTGGTACTGGAATCTTCAAAATGATGGGGTCCTTTTCTGCAACTGGGTTCTACTTTCACAAACAGCCTCTCATGCTATTTTCAAAGTTGCAAGCTTCAGCTTCTTTGCATGACCCCTTCTGTCTTGAGCCGTCAACTGCCACTGAAGTTGCATCTTCACCAAATGGCCTTTCTTGGCCTCTCATAGTACCAAACCTCAGCTGCTCTCTATGACCTCTTCATGCCTTCAAAACTTGTGTATAAAGACTGTATCATTTCTCAATTTCCCATTCTTGACTGTGTTATCAAACCATTTCTTTAAGGACATAAAAAAGAAGAACAAAATTAATTACCACTGTGGCCACAGAAATATATGTACCAGGTAGGTAATATAGCTCTTGCAGAAATGCATCCATTGTAGAAACAAGAAGGTTGTTAAATTTTGAATGGTGATGTTGTCTGCAATTATCTTGGGGTTGGTTTACAATATCCAAATTTATTTATTTATTTACCAATCAATTTAATATTTAGCTAGCAAATTAACTATTCTCCATTATAATTTTCAGAAAATTGTTGCAGGCATAATAATTCTTGGCTCTGTTATTGACCATTTTCTCAGGGATATAATATGAAAAACAAAGCTAAGTCCCAATACCAAATAACATAGGACTTTTCGTGACAGTGAGACACGTCTGCTCCTAGCAGCACTGATTTGCTGCAAAGAAGATGGTGGGCATAGAAAACCTCTGCATGGAGTTTTCTTTCATTTTTGGTAAAGTTAGTCACTTGGCAAAGAGACTGCCCTTGCCTCAACTGCTGAAGGTATGCTGTCTCAATTGGAATTTTTGTCCTCTCAACAAAGACACTCAAAAAGGCAACTACTAAAATTTGCCAAGACAAGGTAGGACAGTCTTAAATTTTCTTCTTCACAGAAAAGTCTACCAGATATTCTAGGCCTGTTGGCCAAAGATGGATGCTCCAACATTACTTGGATGTCAGCTGTTTCTGTCATTACTCTGAGTTTCGGAAGATGCTTGCTGTGCACTTCCTATATACTCAGGTAATAGTATATCCTTCTCAGTTCTTTGATGGTGTTGAATACAGATGGTTATGGTTAGTTTTTCTTAGCCATGATTGAAAGTAATTTAGGTACAAAGCTTTGGGTTTATCGAGAGAGGATAGGTAATATTTTCTCTGAATTTGCCAAAAACAAATGGACTGGACAATGTGAATGCAATTCTTACTTGATAATTGCTCCTATTGTACAAAGTTTCATTTGTTAAAGTTAATACCTTTCCTTTCTATTTAGACAATACCTGATAACTTTTCTTATTGTACATAGTTTTACTATATTACAGTTAAAACTCTTTTTATTTAGACAAAATGAGGGGCCTGTTTGGAGAAATCTGTTTGTATTGATTGTCCCAAGACCATGAGTAGAGTCTGACCTTGGTTCTGAGAGCAGAGTCCACATTCAACTGGCTGAGATGGACCAAAGAGTCACCAGCTGGAAGCAGATGGAACAGGTCATACAGGAAGAGGGGTAAAATCCATGAGTCATGGGCAAATGATATGGGAATACCCTCTGTATGTGGTGAATATGTTTTATTACCATTCGTTAATAAAGAAGTTTCTTTAGTCTATGACAGGGCAGATTATAAGCAGACTAGAATATATACAGATACATATAAATAATGGCACCTACAGAAGTTCATAAGGAAAGATGGACAGCAAACCAAGTGGTATGGACCACTTCTGGACTGCAGGGGAACTGGCCTGCAGATGGACTCTGCTATCCCTAAACTTCCCTTTTGCCATCCCATAAAATCCACACGATAATGGCCTCACTGCCAAGAACAATGTGCAGAACTTCAGTTCTTTTGACTGAGAAACAGTTGTATTGGGAAGATGCCAGTCTGGTCCTTTATGTTCACACTGCCTCCATCAACCTCTTTGTAACAGCATCTCCTGGTGCCATGAATGTCTCTCTCTGGACAGACAGTGTAACTGACATGTCTGTCAGTTCCAGAGCCTTCTGCCCATCAGTTCAGATGAGAAAGCAAGAAGGAAAATCCCTGGTTGTCCACAGTTTCACTGAGGAGAACCTGAAGGCTTTAGTTTTTCACTTTCCAGTTTCAATTTCCTACTGGTGTGTGCCACTCCTCACTTCCCTTTATGGAGCTGTTTCCCAGCTTATATCTGAGAGTCCAGTGGGGGTGAAAGTCCACAGCAGAGCAGAGCATCAAGGAGGGATCCTGAGGAGTCCTGTCCCGGTGAAAGTCCAGAGAACTTCAGCCACCTTCACAGCCACCATGGGGTAGGGATTCCCCTGCTCTGCAGTTTGAGTGAACCCAGGACACAGACATTTGCTTGTGGCCAGTTCTGACTAAGTCTGCTTACATTCTTTTGTTCTCTCTTGTGGCTTCTCTTTCTACTACTCAGAAAGGAATAAGGAGGCTCATTGTACTGAGGATCCAGGAAATTTGTTTAATGATTGTTAATATTTGCATGGGACTGAATGGGTGAACAGATGCTTGCTTCAGTTTGTAAGCCTGTCTCACACATGTAGTTCAAAATCCCTGGGTGATACATAAGCATGCTCATCCCATACAGAGAGACGGTTACCAATGAGAGCTTCAGGAATGGAACAAGGTAGCACTCTATGTAATTAGAGCCCTAAAGGAGAGCAGCTGCTGAGAGTGTTCTGCTTGCCGTATCCTGACCCCACACGTTCACTCCCCTTGAAATGTACCCAACAGACCCCCAGAGGATCTTTTGAGATGCTGCTCAAGGTTGCTGGTCCAAGTGCTTTTTGCTCACCCTGGCTGGGTTAAACTAAGAGAGAACACATTTTTTTCTGTCCCTCAGTAAGAGACAAAAATGTAGAAATTCTAATATATTTGATGAGAGCTATTTAAATATTTCCCTGCAAGAAACTAAATATGCCGAGGAATATAAGCATGTATGTGTGTATATAAACATATACATATGTATATTCACATCCATCCATTCATATATATAGCATAAAGAAATGCTAGGCACCTGGAGTCTTTTTGTTTTTTCGTTGTTTTTGGTTTTCGAGACAGGGTTTCTCTGTGGTTTTAGAGACTGTCCTGGAACTAGCTCTTATAGACCAGGCTCCTCGTGAATTCATAGAGATCCCCCTGCCTGTGCCTACCAAGGGCTGGGATTAAAGGAGTGAGATACCACCACTGGGCTTCAGCTCTGTGTGAAGTCCTTTTATGTAAATGTCTCTGACTTTTATGTTTGAAATTGCCCTCTGGCTATAAAGTGTCAGTCAGTAGAGTGTTTTCTCTTGAATCTAGGGCTACAGATTCTCTCTTTCATAGGCAACTATTGTATGTTCTTGCACATAGAAGCATCTACAGAACGTGAGGATGGAGGAGGCTGAGAGTTTCTGTTGTATGATGAGAGAGATTACAAAAACCACAGAGGTATAAAATTGTGAAATAAATTAAACAAGAGGGCAGAAGACACTAAGGGCTGTCAGGTGACAGTCACGGTCATAGGGCCAATGGCTAAGCTGTGCCTGGAGCTACAGTACCCATGACTCTAGCAGGTGGCTAGGACTGTGTTTTGCAATTGAGTGCCTGCAGTGTGAGAAAGGCTGGAGATTTCCAAGTGCACAGGGGAGGTTGGATGCTGAGATCTCCAAGTGCACGTGCGCAGTGGGATCCAAATTGCTCTCTGTCCCAGTTGCCCACACAAATGGCGGCTGCCTCTGTGCTGGTCAGCTTTCCTGCCTCAAGAGCTTATGCACAAGTGCATGTGCCTCCCTCTTGGGGCACAGTTCCCCAAAAGGATCCTTGGGGGCCTCCCAGTCAAGGAGATCTCCATAGACAAATGGTGTCTCGATTTCAGAGTGTTCTTAGCAACCATTCAAATGTCTTTATTTCCCATAATGCAAGTACACCATCTCTAATTCCTGCTGTGGGTTGCTGTAGGCAGGGAAATCAAAAAAGCAGGATTGAACATGATGTCCATGGACCATGATTAATGTTCCTATAGAAAAAGCCCATCCTTTCTACGTGCTTGGGAAAAGAAGGAGTAAACATGCATTTAGTGCTTTCAGAGACAGAGACAGAAAGAATCAGAGAAGAAGAAATTCAGGGCTCTCTGCAAAAACCGTGGCCAGCAGAGTAATGGTCTGCACGAGGCAAGAAGGAAATGTGGTGGAACACTCCTTAGTCAGCCAGTGTTGTTCACACCTCTAGATGCTGGCTCCAGGGGGTTGTGCAAAGGTGGAGATAGAGTACCAAAGTCTAATAAACTAGAAGCAAACTTTATCCCAGAAACAAGAATCCTGTCAAAAATAAAATAAAAAATCTCTATGGAGCACAAAACGCTTATCAGCTAGCTGAGACCACAGCCAGAGATGGATTTTGTTAGGCTGTGGTAAAAGGCCAGTTTCTGAATCCACCTTTTTATAGTAGGGGCACCAAGCATTAGGTTTGAACAAAGGAATTTTTTAAATCTCAAGGTAAAACTCAGATACAGATTGCCTTATTTTACAATCTGCATTAACAGAGTTTTTTAGTTAAACCAGGGTTTGTAATTAATCTCTTGTCTTCCTTGATACTTCCAGGAAGTGTTTACTGAAGCCCTGGGATCTCCCCTTTGATGCTGCCAGTTTCACATAGCAGGAATAAAGAATAATGCAGAGGTCATATATCTATTTCCTAAAAGTTGACTCAGCTCATATCTGTAGGGTAGCACTCAGTTTGCAGAGAGATGCTTTGTCCTTGTAAATAGAGCTATGGGTTGTAAAGTGAAATAACCCATTTTTCATAGTTTATCCTCAAGCTGCTGAGAGAGCTGCTGACAGTCTGTTCTCATTTTCCTAGATGTACAACTTTATATATTTTTATTTCTACATTCCTGTTTCTGGAATCTACATTTTTATATTCATAGTCTTGGACTCTTCACTAAAGTCTGACCCTGAGAAGTTTGTTGTGAGTTTATTTAAGACCAGTTGACTATGAAAAAACTTGTGACAGAGAGAGAGAGAGAGAGAGAGAGAGAGAAGACAGACAGACAGACAGAGAGACAAGCATACAGCTAAAAAAACTTCTTACGCTTTCATCTCTTTCTAGCTTTGCTTATCAAATGTTATAGTTAAAGACCTGAGTATAGGAACAATGACCATCCACTCCTAGAGAAACTTAACAAATATCCAAATAATTGTGTCCAACATCAATTGAACTCTGCCAGACGCTCATGATTGGAAACAGAAATAGAAGTATTTTATTATGAAACAGTGTTCTGGAAATTAGAATGAACGAGTTAGACAAGGTATAAGCCCAAAAATCATTGGGCTATGGAGATACAGCATATCAAAGAGCCGTGGCTCCTCTGTTGCTTGGTACATCAAGGACATTTTGAGCATCCTCTGTCCATTACATGAAGCCTAGGGAAGAAAGGGCTGTCAGTGTTTCTATTCAATAGGCCTTTTTTTTTTCCATATTCACTGATGCCGCTCTCTCTTGGGACCCCAATCTCACACAACTCTCTGTAAAATCTGAAATACCACTTGACAAGAGGAGGAAGCATCACATTGTTTCCCATGGAGATTTAAACTGGTGCTGGAGAGATGGCTCAGTGGTAAAGGGCTTGCCAAGCAAGCGTGAGAATGGCAGTCTCAGTGCTAATACTGAGAGCAGAGCTGCCAACCACTGTCTTTCCTTCTCAGAAAACAAGCAGGTGAAGCCAAGTGCCTAATGCTGTCCACCAGCCTTCATAGGTGGGCCTTGGCATTTGCAGCCCCTCCACAAACACAATTTAAATGCCATGGGAAAAGGAGGAGGATGGAGAGAACAAGGCTTAGAAGAAGCCCCTAAGAAAAGTTAATTCCTGATCGTTATGACTGCTTTAAAAATATGTTTTTACTTTTCCTTAATCTACTTTAATGTATTCTTCCACATAGTTTTTGTTTATTTTTGCTGTTAGAATCCAATAACATTTCTCCCTTTCTTTTCCTTTCCTCTTTCAAGCCCCTCACATTTACTCTCCCTGCTCTCCTCCAAATTCATTGCCTCTTTAGTTTATTCATTGTTTTGTAAGCGTGTATATAAACATAGATATGTGTGTGTTCCTGTCCAGCATTTATACTGTTTCTTGTTATGTATGCTATCAGGGTTGAACATCTGGTGCTGCACAGCCTAGCCTGAGTGATACCACCTCTCCAATCCCCACTGTACTGGTTGTTCATTGTTCTTTGTGTATCATTGAGGCTTCACTGACTCTTCCTATCTGATCTGTATGTTTCCTGTCCATTGTTGTTATCCTTGCTCAGTTCATCTTTGGCCATTCATACTAGTGAAATTTTCAAAAAGTTTGGAGGTGAATTCTATCTCTGCTCTTATGTAGAGAAATGGTATTCGAAACCAATAAAAGACTGTCAGATTCCCAAAATGGGAGGGGCATCTATCCATCAAGTCCCTTACTGAGATGAATGCTTCTCTAAATCAAAAGCCCCTGTCTCAGATTAATTGCTTCCAGATTGTCACTTCTAACCCTCTAATTTGTGGGAAAGTATTGATTTTATTTTCCTTTTTCTGTCTCCTTATTTTGTAACCCTGCCAGAATGCTCTGAGACAAGGTTAAAATCTATTTTTTCTGAACGCATCTCTAACCTTCAAAGAGACTGAACTTTTGCCTGACTTGAAACCAAGTTAAAAATTGGGCCTGAGCACATACAATTTTTTACACAATCACTCAGATAACAAGGACAGACAGCTCAAACACACACACCAGACAGACCACAGACCACAAACTATAGGAAGGTGGAAACGCAGGGAGAAAACTGAGGAATACACCCTGGAGCTCTGTACCCACCCCTGGGATCTAGACATATGCCATGATTTAAACCATTCTTGCAACATTTTCTCGTGGGTGCTTTTTCCATCCTAAATGGTGAATAAATTATTTTAGTATATCCTTCCTACGCTATTTTTGCATTCAGTTGTATGAGAGACTTTAAAATCTGCCCAAAAGAACCTCTTTCTTCAAATCAACAACTTAGAGATGCTAAATCAAGAAGTCAAAAATCATTTGGCTATACTAATGTCCAAATTGTGTCCCTGTCCAAATCAGCCTCAAGAAGACTACTTATCTATGGATAAAGTTAGGGGAAGGTGATTAAAGTTAGCTGACGATGCAAGGGTGGGCTCTTCTGCTACAGGACTGGGAGGATTTCCTACAACAACAAAACAAGAAAACAGAAAAGAGTTCTCAGAGTTCATAGCACAGACAAGAAACACTACATGCGGATCTAGCAGGAATGTGGTCCTCTGCACG